CTTTAAAAATAAAATAATATTGAAATCATATTGACAAAATTATGATAACTTATAAATTAAATTTTTGATTAGTTAAATTAATCAGTATTTTATTGATCAATTTTATTTTAATATACTATATATATTATTATTTTAAATATTTTCAAAATTTTTTGAAATAAAAAATCTTCAAAGTTTTTTATTATTAAAATTAATGAATTTATTTTTGTTTTACAAAATTTTGAAAATTTTTAATAAGTGGAGATCTCCAGAGTTCTTCATCAAAAAAATTTCCTGATAAAGCTTCTATTTCAGTTAGGTAAAGTTCTTGAAAAGATTTTTTTATCCTAGTCAGATAAGCTTTTTTATAATATGGCACTGGTTTCAGTAGTTATAAATAAATCTATACATTAACAAAAGTATAAGTTCCTTAAATGTTCTTCTTGAAGTCATTTTCAGGAATGGTTAAGTTCCTTAAACATTATAAAGCTTAAAGAATATCCCAATCAGACAAATTTCTTTCAAAAGAAAACTATGAAATAAAACAAGAATCTTTTAAAAAGCTTTGAATTGTATTTTTTTTCTTTTTTTTCCAATGCTATACTTTAGTAATTTATTATTTTTTAAGATAATCGATAATAACAAACTGTTGACAATAATTCTAATTAACTTAGAGGTACCATATCAAGCTATTAGAAGAGCATAATATTATCTCCTAAATCAGACTTAAAGTATCTAGTTTAAATTTAGTTTTGTTTAGTTCAAATTAGCTTAATAGACTTTTCATATTTTTTAACTAGTATAGTTCTTTAACTAATGATAAATTAATTGTTTTATAAAAAGTTTGTAAAATATTTTGATATCTTTCAATATTTCAATAAAAATATATCAAAGTGACATGATTGCAGGTTAAAAAAAAAAAAAAAGGTATTATTTATATAAGCAATAATTATATGTTTAAAAAAAGTTTTTTTTTTAATCTTAAATTGCTAAAAATTAAATATTTATTCTTTTTCTATAATATATTTATAGTTTGCATTATTTTGAATTTAGTAAATTATAGAAAATTTATTAAAGAAGAAAAAATATTGTTTTTTCTTAATCTATATTTTCTTTGCTATAATAGAATCAGATAACTTATTAAAAAGAATTGTATAGCATTTTTTATTTATAAATAGAATAATTAAAAGCTATCTCATTATAAGTAAAATTTGAATTTATTTTATTGTTTTCTTTAATATATTAAGATTAATTATATTATAAGCCTTAATTATATTTTAAAAGAAAATTCATAACTTTGCAGTAGTAATTTGTAGATAATAAAGCTAGCAGTTGGAAGGGTTTTTACCTAAACTACTAATGGAGCAATAAATTACTTTCAAAGTTGTACTTAAAGTTTTAATAAATTTCAAAATAATAACAAGTGAGTTAGGTAGAGATTTAATTTTAGTGATACAATTTTAATGTAAAGTATACAAAATATTTAATAAAACACATATATCTAGCTTGACAAAAAGCTTAAAAAAAAATTTTTTTTTATAACTTCTTTTTCTTTTTTTAGCTTTTTCATAAATATTATTTAATAAATACATAGATTTGGTTATATTTTTATTTTATAGATTAGCAAAGTTAAATTTTTGTAAGATATTAAGTTTCTTGCATATTTCTTTTTTTTTTAAAGTCAACTTAGTATATTTATTAGTAATAATAAGATAGAATTCAAATTATATTAAAAATATCATAATTATTATAGGTATTATTAAATTACCTAAAACTGAACAGTTTATTGGATTGTTTTTTGTTACTTCACACTAGAAAAGACTAATCTAAAATTACTTTTAAACTAGTATTAGAATTATAAAAGAAAACATTAGAGTGCTATTGAGCAAAAACTTAAGTTTTCTTCTACTAACTATTCATTGAGACTAATATCAAGGAGCAGTCAAAACCTACTGATTATTTACTAAAGAACTATATCTTTTTATATTTGAAAGGGAGAGAAGGGGTTTCTTTTTTCAAATGGGAGGGATGTGGTTTCGGATGTCAGCTTTATTGATATTATCTTATTTGATACTTTGTTTAAGGAACTACTTATCCAAAGATTGGATGGAACCTGCAATTAAAGAGATATCTTAAAACTATAATAAACCGAACATTCAATTCTAAAGATAATATTAGCTTTAATCATAAGCTACTTATTTAAGAAGGCACAATTCTTTCAAAATCCGGTTAAGTCTTTAAGGGATCTTCCAATCTAACAGTTGTTTTCAATGAGTACTTTTATCAAAAATAAAATTGGTAGATACTACTAGTAGTCTAAGTAGCTATACTTGAGGAGAAGTTATATTAAAAGTCTTGATATTTATGATTTTTCTTGTTTATGAAACCTATCTTGTCTTTTGATTCTATCTTGTTATTTATTTGAAACTTAATTCTATATCAAAAAAGTTATACTTTCTAGATTTCAAACTTATTGAAAGCTTGTTTTGTTTTTTTTAGCATTGCATTATGCTGAATTTGTCTTATTGTAAGCATGTCTAGTTATTTCTATCGATGCATAGATTCTTTTATATATGAGCTAGTTCTTTATTTCTTTTATTTCATTCATGGTACAGAAGATAATTGTGTCCTATATCCCTTACATGACTAGTATGTGACTTACGATGAACCTCAGGTTTTTATGGAACTAAGGAAATACATTTAGATATGTAATATGACCAATAAAAGCTTGTTTATATTTTTTTACTAATGTGATTTTATTGAACCAATCAACCCATAAAAAACTCTGTGCTACTTAAAATTCAGGATCAAATTGAAATAGACAAAATTTTTCAGAAAAATTAAAAAAGAATATTATTAGAATTAGCAAATTAATGAAGAAAGTGGATAATAGTTCTTTCATCACAAACAAAACTCTGTGATGTTTTTTTATGAGATAGATAGATAGTAGAGTATCAGCTTTTCTTCTTTTCAAAACTTTCTTGTCATAGATAGGAAAGATATTTTTATAACTATTCAGGTCAATAGTAGTTAAGTTTTTGTTTGAAGGGAATGTAAACAAGAAGGAAGGAAATAAGAGTGGCTCTTAAGAAGCTTTTCAGAATGGTTTAAGGAAAGTGATAAGACTTTGTTAACAAGAAAGCATAAAGAGCTTTTTTATGAATGTTTTTTTTTGTGTATGGTTAGAAAGAGTTTATATACTATATGAAATTTTATGCATATTTCTTAATTATTATTTTAAAATATTTTCTTGCCATTTTTAATAAAATAATAAATCTAGTATTGTCTAATTTACAATTTCAGGATTTTGATTTTGGTATGAGATAGATATTACTATTCTTTTATTTTTGAGGAATCTATTTCTTTTCTATAATTATATTAAAAAACCGAATAAAAGGGTTTTTTTCTTTTAGTTCTGGGTTTTTTTTTTTTAGTTCTAGGTTTTTAAATATCTTATTTGAAAGATCTTTTAAAGTCTATTCTAATTTTTCTTTGAAATCTTTTTGATTAATAGAAGCCACCAATCTTTTCTTATTTATACTTTAGATTGATATTCTTTTTCTATTCCGAATTCATATATTCAAAGTTAATGAAAGCCTTCTAATAATAGATTTTGACTATTACTTGTTGATTTGAAAATTAGTGACTATTATAAATACAATCAAAAACCGTCTAGGTAATACACGAAACTGACGCGAGACTACGTTTCAAATGAGCACCTCTGAGAGTGGCAAAGGTCCTAGACCCATTAGGAGACTTGAGGACACTGTTGTGAACAGAATTGCGGCTGGCGAGGTAGTACCTTTGGAAAACAAGCTCGTTTAAATTCTCGTACTTAATTCGGCTTTAATTCAGATTATTCACAGACCTGCCAACGCGTTAAAAGAATTAATAGAGAATTCTTTGGATGCTGGAGCAACTAATATTCAGATTTTGATTAAAGACGGGGGTTTAAAGCTTCTTCAGATTCAAGATAATGGACACGGAATCAGGGTTAGCAGCAGTATAGTGAAAATTATTGCAGAACTTTAAGGTTTATTGTTCTTGTCCATTTTTAGAGGGAAGATATGGCCATTGTATGCGAGCGATTTACTACGAGTAAACTTAAGAGCTTTGAAGATCTGTCGCGCATTAGCACTTTTGGCTTTCGAGGAGAGGCCTTGGCTAGTATAAGTCATGTGGCGCACGTCACCATTACCACAAAAACAGCCGATTCTAATTGTGCATATAGGTTGATAGCCCTTTTCGCAAATGCTTACGAAATTCATAATCAATTCTTTGTATTTTGAACTGGTGCATTGATATAATTTTTAGAGCTTGTTATTCTGATGGTAAACTGATTCCATCAAAACCCGGAGCTAGTGCCGAACCGAAAGCGTGTGCTGGTAATACTGGAACGCAAATTACGGTAAGTAGTTTTCCGACTTCGCGATTTTAAGATGATCGAGTCTACTGTAAAAATTATATAAGCATGCATGTTCGTTATTAATTGAGATTTCGCGTTGAAAAACACGCGTCCAACCAGGCGGAAGATCTCTTTTATAATGTACCAGCGCGTAGAAAGGCCTTAAAAAATCCGAACGATGAATACAATAGAATTTTGGATGTCGTCAATCGTTATGCTATTCATAATTCAGGCGTTAGCTTTTCATGCAAAAAGGTAAACGTGTTGGGATAGCTTTTTGATTATATGAACTAGTCACATGTTGATTATTTGTAATTTTTTATTTCAGCAAAGTTCAAATCAAGTTGACGTGAATACGCTGTCAACGGCATCCAAATTAGAAAACATTCGACAAATATATGGGAGCACGGCTTCAGAATTATTAGACTTGGAAAAACATTTTCGCAAACTGGACCTTAAAGTTAACGGGTTTATTTCCAATGCGAATTATAACCTGAAGAAAATGGTGATTTTATTATTCATCAATAGTAAGTTTACAAATTACGTATTCAACATGTTAGTCAAATTAGGTTAACCATTTCAAAAATCGCCGCTTAGAGAATTTCAATTTCTACAGATAGAGCTGTGGAAAGTGTAGCATTGAAAAGGAATATCGAAGGTGTATATGAAACCTATTTACCGAAAAATTCTTATCCATTTGTATATTTAAGTTTGGATATAAATCCACAATGTGTTGACGTGAATGTACATCCTACAAAACGAGAGGTTGGTTTAACGGATAAATTCTTTGGCAAACGAATTGTACGCACAAGGAGATCTGTAAATATTTATACCTTTATTAGGTCCGTTTCTTAAATGAAGAGGAAATCGTTGCGGCCGTTGGGGATGCGATACAGGAACGTCTTGTGGGTGCTAATTGTTCTCGAATCTTTTTGACTCAGGTAATTAATTCATGATCCTGACTAACTTTACTGAGATAAAAGCCGTATTCCTCGGAGATAATTAAGATCCATTTCATTTCATCCAGACTTTATTACCTTGTTCAAAACAATTGGATGTGAGTGCAAACGAGGCAGAGAACTCGATTAAGAAATCAGGTATAATTAAAACTGAAGTTATCGGTTCAGAACGAAATCCACATCAACAAGTTCACATCATATTGTGTCAATCGTTAGGCTCAAAGGTGTTGACCTATAAATATGTTAGGACTGATAGTCGCGCACAGACATTGGATCAATTTTGTACACCTGATAACAATATGCTTTGCATACCTAAAAAGAATAAAGGTTCCGACGTGGCAGCGTCTCCCGGCAGGTTTGTGTAATTAACAACCACGGAATATCAATTCGACCTAAAAATGGATATCTAGCTAAAATAAGAATCTTTTCGAAATAATAGCAGCAATAGTAATCTTGTCAATAAAAGCGCGGAACCTATAAGCTTGAAACGCAAACGCGAGAGAATTGAAATAAAATTGACCAGCATATTGTCATTGCGCAATCGTTGCAGAGAGGTTGAACATAAAGGTAAATAGACCGAAGATAATTCGTTCAACACTCATGCGGCTAGCTAAAAATTTTCTCGATAGGACTTACCGAATTACTTGCCAATCATGCATGGGTCGGGTGTGTCGATGATTCTTTAGCCTTAGCCTTGATACAGCATCAAACGAAACTTTACATGGTTAACTATAATATCATCAGGCATGTTTATTCGCACGACTAATCATCGTGATGAATGTCACAAATCTGTTCCGAAATTGACAAAAGATTCGAAATATCTTTTAGCGAAGAATTATTCTATCAATTGACTCTCCAGGAATTCAGTAACTTTGCGTTCATTCACTTATCTACACCCGCACCAATCAAGGAGCTTGTAATATTTGCCTTGGAGTCAAGCGTTCAACCATCCGAGAATTTAAAATCCAATCAAGAAATTGCTCAGGTTGACATTTACACATTTTGGGCGATCAGGATATCTTCTTAATTGACCTTACACAATTCTTTCTTTAGATCATTGTGGATACGTTAATCTCACGAAGGCAGATGCTGCTGGAATATTTTTCGCTAACCATTAGTGAACGGGGTGAATTGGTTACCTTACCATTGATATTAAAAGGTTATGCACCAAATCTGGACAAGCTTCCAACATTTTTATTACGTTTAGGTTCTGAGGTAATTAATAATCGGATGTTTTGATAGAAAATCATCGTAAATAGATTTATCTAATGCTTATTTTGCAAAAGGTTGATTGGGAAACAGAATTGGGGTGTTTTGAGACGCTTTCTCGTGAATTTGGCTTGTTCTATGCACCCGAACCACCGCTACCAAGTGATCCTCAAGAAATTGCCGAACTTGGCGGTGTCAATTCGATGGATGTTGATCCTTTAGAGGATCAAATGGAAAGCCCAGATGATAAAAATATTGGTCAAACTACTGAACAAAGGCAGATTACCGAGGTCTCCAAGTATCGTTGGCAAATCGAACACATCATTTTCCCGACATTAAAAGGAAATCAATTTATGGCTCCAGGTTATATTGCCGAAGAGGGTCATGTCATCCAAATAGCTAATTTGCCCGACTTGTATCGCATATTTGAACGCTGTTAGACAGTTCTTATGTTATTAATCCTAGGAAATTTATTATTATTGATTAATCTAAGTACTTTTCCTTCCAATTAACCTTTTCTAACTCTTGCAAAAAATATATATATATATATATATATATATATACAGTATATATATATACTGTATAATAATAATAAATAAATAAATTATCTAGTGATGGCTTAAAATCTAATTCGTCATATACTAGAAGGCTTGATACTATTTTTATGTAAGTTTATGAATATTTACAATTGCAACTATGTACAAAATTATTATTTACAATATATATTATATGATTAAAGTTTTATTATAATTCGAAAAACTACCTTAGTTTCCGTCCAAGAAACCTTGATCAAACCGATTGGCTTCCGATTGTGTTATCTCCTCCTATTTTTCCATCTAGGAGAAAAGTAAGGATGCCCTGCTAAGCACTCCCTATCATTGGCATTTATAAAGGATGCGATCGGCATACCTTATCTGATAAGCATCAACGGTTCTTGTGCGTTCCTTTATCGTTGAACGAAGGCTTGATTATGGACGCCTCAACCGTTTATTCTTCAAATACGAAGCCTCTTGTTAATCTCTGCCACGCCATCTTCAAAATCTTCGATATCATGCCGTCTTTTACTTGAGGAGGCCACAGGAGTGCCTCGATCTGAAAAACCAAATACGGGATGAAACCCCGCCGTGCTTGTCCCAACAACCTCTTCGACAACTCGCTTAGCGTGATCGAAAGGATACCTGGGGAAATCGAATAGAATTCATGATTTGCTCTAAATTAAATTACGGTTGCGTGTAAAGAAATTTGCTTACCATGTACCTTGGTACTTGATATTTCCTCCGACTATCACGAGTTTCTCGCTGTTCCAGCCGGGCTTAAAGCAACGGAGTTTCTCCAAGCGTAGGTTTGGATTATCGAAGAGACGTTTCAGAGGATTCATGTGAACGTATCCTGTATTGGCATCCCACCGAATGGTCTCGCCTCGCCATTCATATTCATAGGCTATTAAAAAGAGAAAATAAAAATAAAATAAAAAAATAAAAAAAAACGAACCAAAGTTTCAAAACAATCAAAAAAATGACAATTGATAATCATAGATCTTTATTATTTAATTTCACATCGTAGTCGCACAAACTAATTACAAACAAATTCATTTACCGGCGCTGGGGACGCAAACGTTATCGATATATTTATTATACCGTTTTGTTATCACTGTGTAATCCTGGTGGGGATGTGGTGCCCACTCGCCAGACGGTTCCGGGACGGAAATTTCGGCGGTAGACCGGCTGCGTGTTCTCACTTTTAATGGATGTTTTCCTTTTGATTTATTATTACTTAAAGTCCCTGCCCGACTCAAACTTACCGATTCGGCACGATTTTTTCCACTCTGAAACAGGTAAAGACAAATTATCTCCATGTTATGCATCACAATAAACTTATGATCCAATTTTTATTCCATCTACCTTGTTATCTTTAGCCTTCCCCTTCTGAATTGGGAGCTTTCGCAGGGGCCATTCAATTTTAAATAAATTGTAGTGACGAGTACACCTTGCGCATCTTTTGTTAATATCGGGGGCCTTGATTTTGCTTTTTTCACAACAAATTCGGCAACGCCGTACTACTTCCTGAGATGAAGGTGCGTTAGGGGAACCGGTATATTCTAGAACTTCATTGCTACAAAGGTAAGCAATCGACATTCTCTTATGTTGTGAATTAGAAGTTCCACAATAACTCGACAATTGCGGGTGAGTTTGATGATAATATGTAGCGTTGACTGGAACATTATTTTTACGAATAGTTCTAATCCACGAAACAACTCTAACTTCCGGAGTCGCAGATACATCAACCCCTCCCCAGGGGTTATCTTGATTCGATGAAAACTGATGTGTGTCAATGTTCGTGGGGCCGCGAAAGGATGTAGAATCATTAACGTAACCTGTTGCAATCCGTTCCTCATCTCCAGATTGAAAGTCATTCGATGAAAAATTACCATTCGAAAAGTTGGACGAAGGGTTAACCGACGATTTCATAGAAGTTGATGTGGGATTTGCACTCGCCGCCGACAAGTTAGTAGCCGTCTTGTAAATTTGTTGTGCTGACGAACGATTTTCATTGCGGCGTTGTGTAGTTGTAGAAATCATGGTGCGAAAGCTAACTGGTTCTCCTCTTTGAGAAACTAATCTTGTAACAGATGACCTGGTTGTATCATCCCTTGGATTAACGGTTGACGACCACACAGTTTGGATCCCTCGGTTTACCGAGCTTTTAATGGAATTACCTCCTTGGGGTAGAACACTGTTATAAGGTCTAGGAACCGCTGAACTTTGATTCTCACGTAATGATAAGTTCGAGGCAGGTAAAGCAAACTGCTGTATAGGGGCGAAGTTTGTAGATCTGTTATTATTGTTGTAACTACAACTATTGGACGATGAGCTAACTGCAATTCCATTCGATGATATGAGAGAATTCGGTTCAATGACTACGCGACAATCTTTAGCACAGTGTTCATTGATTCGATTGAACAGCATGAGCTCATCACTCGAGGCCGAATCGTCAGATTGAACGCCAGTTAAAACGGCGTCGTTGGCAGCTATCGCGTTCAGAGAATTGATACAGTTATTGACGCCGGGGACGTTTGAGCTGGATGAATTGCCGAGATTGTACATGTTCGTTGTATCGACAGATCCACCATTATATGATAAATTCATCGAATTTGAAGGTTTCTCAAAATTAACAATGTTTATTGGGTCATCTGCGACAAGATTCGTCGAAGAGGAAGTACCACCAATATAAGGTAAATTTATCTGAACGGTAGGGCGATCATTGTTAGCAATGTTCGCTGATTCATCAGGGTCAACAAAGTCTTCTGACAGTGAATCAACGTGATCGACCGCATTAGAATCAATTGTGAAAGCAGTTTCGTCAGGTATCGAGAGATTTACTGAGGCGGCGCAATCATCAGCATAGTCACCGGAAAAAGACAGCATGGAAGTGTCTTGATCGTCAATATTGTCTTCATGCTCGTCGATATTATCTTGTTCATCAACATTATCTTCTTGTTCGTCAATTATTATCGGATCGTCGCTAGAAGCATGTGGTGTGGTGGTAGTCGTACTGCACTCGCCTCCATTAATGGCGTTTGAAGTCCCAACCATACACTGCTTCTTAGAATTTCCAGATTTCTTCGAAGGCTTAGATCTGAAGTTATTCGTAGCAACTGATTGAAGGCGATGATAATACGACGTCATTAATCTCGAAATATTATAGTACTATGAAAAGCATGGCTAACATACTATTTCTGCGCAAACTTCGTCGAACTAACTTGCCCGTGTCGTCATAGACAAAAGGCCGTAATCCTTCTATCACGGGATCTTCGGCAGTTCCCGCAGTTCGAAATGATCCCGTCTGATTACTTAAAAAATAAATGGGTAACAAATGAGTATATATTATCATCATGAAATAATTGAATTGAAAATAAAATTTACTCAAACGAACCGTTCACAAGTGGCACAAAGACATTCAGCATTACCAGCGCCAAAATAATTATCACCGTAATATGCAGTGATTTCTTCTCCGACGGACACGTCCCGGATAAATTTAAACGATATTGCATTTTGACCAGCAGAAATGAACTCAGTATTAGGTCGGCAATCATGCTATCAATAATAAAAATTCATTAACATTCTAAAGTAAGATCGTTTAAACTTTCAAGTCAATCACCTACGTTTACAAATCTAGCTGGACCAAGAAGAAGACACATTGCATCCTTGCGTGATGACCACATGACCGAAAAGTCGCGACCTCCCTCCAAAGCTTTCTCTTCTTCGGTAGTTAGATTGACGAGGGTACCGGTGCAATATTTTATTTCATCACCAATATGCCATGGTTTGGTAGCTATAATGCAGGCCTCTCGTTTCGAGGAACCTGAATATCGACTGGTCTCAGCGACTTCGTACCCAGCATTTGGTAGGTACATCATAAGATAACGTTTAGCATGCCTATTAATGGGTAAAACAATAACCTTAACAATGTCATCTTGATTCGGTTAGGGTAAATACTAAAAATCAATACATTATGAAATCTTTCTCGGTTTCTCCCGTTATTCTGGCAGTTTCACGGACCGTTGGGATTCTGTGTGGAAAGAAAAGCACTTTATTAAACTTGTTTTCGTTTCAAACCCTCTGGGTGCGAAATTTCACGCTTAGGGTTACAAAGGGACATTTTAAAAAAATAAATATTTTATATCAAGCTTCTGACCGATGAGAGAAAAGAAAAAACAATCTACCTTAAAAGTTCGCGAACAGCTTCGTTATGTTTTCGCGCGAGATACTCGCCTCCCGGTAGCTTGGATTTAGCTTAAAAGTTCTGAACCAAAGGAAAAGCTGGTCCAGCAGCAGATCTGTAAGGACGTCATCAAATTGTTGCACACTCTCGAGATCCATGTGGATGTTTGTAAAATAAAAATGATTGCGAAAGGTAATATTGAGAGAAAATGAATTGATGTGGAGCTCGGAGGTTATGGCGATGAAATCGCAATCAAATTAGGTATTAAAAAAAATAGTAAACTGGTAATGCGTCTGGATATTTATTTATAAGATCAGGATGCTAATCTCCGGAAAAGCATATTACGTCAAAGATCTCCAAATTGTGTACTGTACGTTACGCAATATTCGAAATTAAAAACTTCGCCGAACCTTTTTTTTCAACACTTTGGCGTTTCCAATAGTTCTTGAGCATTCAAAATAAACAAAAAGACGCGATTTTTGATTATCGCGCAAAATTAAAGGTACAAAAAAAAGTAATATATTTTTGAAGATCTAATTTTTCTTGGATTAAGGAAGATAATCATGCTATTTAATTTGCTAACTATGATAAATATAGAATTTATATTTAAAATATTGTTTAAAAGTATTTTTTTTTTACAAGTATTTAAATTTTATTCTTAACTTACTATAATCAAAAGTACATATTCATTTGAGCATGAAATGCACTATAGCTAAATATTTATATTCTTTACTTAATTAAAGATTAAGTTTTTACTTGAAAAAAAAATATTAATAAAAGAGAAAAGGAAATAAAAATAACTTTTTCAAGTTTATTTAAAGGAAGTACTAAGTCTTTATTAGCATAAGAACATAAAAACTTCTTATAAATTTCTTGTTTATATGTAGTCAAAGGATTCATGGAAAGAATAATATTTATTTTATTTTATTTTTTTTAAGTACTTATAGTTAGACTAGATTATAGTTTATTAATTATTGAAAATATAAGTATATTTTTGTTTAAGTAATATAATATATAATATAATTAAACATTTCTATCAAATTTAACAACTCATTATAAGCAATAAGAGTTTTTAAGTTTGACTTTGAAAACAATATTTTACTCTATAATTGACTTTAGTAATACTTTTATAATCTATCACTTATTATTAGTAGATTTGTTATTATTATATTTCCTATTAAACTATTAGAATGCAAAAAACTACAAAAGAATAAATTGAAACAAAGAAAAGAGTAATATTTAGAAATATATAAATATATTATATAAAAATAAAAAAATAAAATAAAATTCTTTAGTTTTCTTCAAAGATCTATTTCTTAAAACTTCTTTTCAATAAGAAATAGTTAATTAGATTATTCTTTTTTTTTCTAATCATCTAAAAAACTTATCTATTTTTGATCTTGATTTTCTTCTTGTATACTATTTAAAGAGATTTATTATCTAGTAAAAACCTTTATTTTCAGTAATAAACTTAGTTTTAACTTTCTTTAAATAATAAATTAATATTTACTTATAATAAATAAATAACTTATAATAAATTCCAAATTCTCATATAACTTAATAAAAACTATATCATATTGTTTTAATATATTATCTTTTAATAATTACAGTAAGAAACAAAAAAATTATTTAAATTTTTTATTATAATTTAAAACTTATTTATTTAAAAAATATAAAAAAATATTAATATAAATATTTTAATTTTATAAAATAATTTATATTTATTTAATAATATTA